TCTCCTCCCCATCAGGCGTGGGTGGCAAGATGTCTGTCTCCCCGATCCTGTACGGCCCGTGCGACACCTCACAGGTCAGCGAGGCGGACTTCCTGTGCCGGCCGCAGCTGAGCCGGAAAGACGTGCGGTCCGACTGTGTGACTGTCACGCTGCAGGTTCCCAAACACACCAGCGTCGCCGAGGGTCAGTTCTTGTAGACCAGAAACGTACATGTGTGAGGCGTGCGGGCACATTGAGTTACTTCTTGGACTTTTGCCCTACGGTCATAGATAGATCAAATTTATAGGTGGAGTGTGTACAATTGATCGCTGTTAAGGACAAGCAGGCTAACCCATATTTGGGGGGTTTCCAGAAATCTTGACCTACACTAAAAGTGGACATTGCCCTACTTATAGCAGAAGTTTGGTTTCATTGGTGTGTATATTTGTTTGGTTGTAGAGAAAACTCTCCTTGTCTTTTAAAGAAACCGAACAAGGGTCCAAAAACTTTACCTTTGATTTTCTCAAAACATAATTTTTCAGGATTGCCCCCTTGTGCTAAAAAAGTGACCAATTTATTAGTACAAAAAGATAAAAGTAAAAGATATGTTAAACAAAGAAAATAGCTTCAATTAAAATGTACAAATTTGACCCCTGTTTCTATTTCCGTCAGATATCTCCTTTTGTGGAACACAAGAAGTAACTCATTTTGTCAGCACACATCACATTTCTCTCAATGTTTTACACTGAACAATAAAATATGTAAAATCTCCTTGTGGATTCTGTGTGTTTCATTATGTGCATGTTTTGCCATGTGTGTGTTTCGCTGTGTGTTTGTTCACCATGTGCATTTTCACCATCAACCTCAATGTTATTCAGATCAAAATTCTTCCATCTTAACATCTTGTTACAAGTATTCATATGACCTTAGAACTTGCATCTGAATAACATTGAGTTACAATCACAAGACTGAGTATGTACCTGGCTTAAGATTATTATTGTTTATATTACTGTTCATTTATATTATGCATGTGACTGTAAGCCTGTTTGTTTGTGTGTGTGTGTGTGTGTGTGTGTGTGTGTGTGTGTATGTTTGTGTATGTGTGTGTGTGTGTGTG